ATCTTGGATTGTGCAGCAAAGAGTAGATTCTACGTATGTCACTTCTGATACGTGGATTATCTAATTTGGTATTCTCCTATATTCACGAGACTTCAGAAAGGGCAGTGAAGTGTAAAATTCCAAGACTTGTTCTCAGTACTACGTAGGAGTCAACCACTGGTATTGTAAACAACTTTTGGAGTAGTGATAGCACATATGGCATTATTAAGTAAAAGTTGTAGGCTCCCATTATTGTATTTGTGAAGCTTTAGAGGATTCCCTCCCCCTTTCCACCTTCTCCATTATGATAGATTTCTGAGGCTATGAATTACTGTTTAGTAATTAGAACTATGGCACATACAGCACTATTCCTAGTATTTCCATGCAACCTATTGTACTTGAAGTAATTCAAGAAACAAATATTTACAGTTTTAAGACTATTTGAAAATATTTCCTATTTTAAGGGAGAACCTAGAAATCCAGTAAATGTACAAATAAATGCCAGAATAGAAGTTCTTTGGTCCTCATTCCACTCCATATTCACCTGTTTCCATGTATGCGCTGATGCAATCAACTGGAATAAACTTCTTTAATGGAGAAAACAGCTTGATCACAGGTCTGAAGAATCAGAGCTAGAGTATTAATACATATTACTTTAAATTTAAAATTAGTCTATTAAACTGAAACTAGTGGACATCCAGACTACTCAGATTGATTTTATGTAGAGATAAATATGACCAGTTTGCTTCCAACTCGTATTCCTACAGATGTTAAAACTGACAGTTAGCACTATGTTTTAGAAGCAGTAGAGGAAAAGGATTTAACATTTAATAATGTACTGATATTTTTCTTTAAATTCCTAGGAAATTCCTTCCCTACCTCACAACACCATTTTAATTTCTGTTTTCCTAAGCTTCTTGCTAGTGTTTACAATTGCTCCAAGAGTGTGAGTATGTGTAATTAAAGCTAGCATTAAAAAAGCTCCCCAGTAAACTTGTTTTACAAGCCACTTTCTGGAGATATTAGTTGGCTTTGAACTTCTGCTAAAACCTATCACCATTTCAAAGCACAGAAACATTTGTTACGTAGGTTTTTCCATTCATATATTTATAATGATAACATGTATCCCTGCTCCAGTGCTGCCTCATGTTATTTTAAAATACATACACAAGTCTTTTGATGTAATATCTGCTACTAGATGTCACATTAAAGTCATTTTTCCTTTTGCATATCTATTTATTAATAAATATGGGACCAGCTTGTATCTAAGAGTTCCCATCATTCACCTGATTCTTTCCATTTGGGTGTTTGATAAATTAGTAGTCCAAGTGATATCAGTAATATTCTGCCTATGGAAGGTTTAGTGAAAGAAAAATGGTTACATTTAGTATAATCTATATTGAGTTTTGCTACCTGTACCAATGTATTTCAAAGTTTTGTGAAATGAACCACTAACCATTAATAAAACAAACAAGTATGCAACTGCTGGCAGCATCTTCCTTTTTAGTGTTTGTTGAAACAGGAAACGCATTGTTTTAACATTTTTGTCCCTGCATTTTGTCTTTCTATAATGGGTGTGTTGGGGGTTTTTTCAATGCAGAAGAATGGCAGAAAATGGCTAAACAATCTGTGTAAAATGCGTTGCTCTAACAACACAACCACAATGTAATACAATAAATTATAGATTTCATTCTTCATGATTGTTTTGAAAGTTGTGTTCCTTAAGCTACTTTTTCCGATACCTCTGCTACTGAGAGGAGTAACATCATCCATCTGTGCAGTGTAATTAATGAACTAATATCTTGTTTAACAATAGGACCCAGGCAAGTTGGAGCTATTGTATTACAAGGCTTAATTTTTTTTACCAGTGCTCCCCTTCTTTTTTATCTATTAGCAGGATAAATTACACTTAACTAAGATTACTTAGTTATCTACCTATAGATAACTAAGGTAAATGAGCGTTAAAGTTGCTTAGTGAAACACTCAAAGGTAAGACATTACCTCTGTTGAGATATTTGTACATTTACATTTATTTTTATTGATGTCATGATCTGATCTATTGACCAAGACTTTTTAAATACACGTTTCCTTCTCTCCAAAGTGCAGTACAACCTTGGAACCAAGCACCTTCCGGAAATTTGAAAATTCTGGATTTTTAAAACCGGAGCAGTGGCTGGTTGCAGAAAGGGGGAGCAAGGGGAGGGTAGCGACAGCCAGTCCCAACACAGAAGTGCCACATGGATGGCAGCAGTGGCCGCCATGTGCAAGCTTCCCCCTCCACTGCTCCAAGACCAGCCACCACTACTCCCTGATCTAGTATATTTTTTCAAGTGCCAGATTTTCGAGAATTCCAGATGTTTAATACCCGGATTTATGAGGTTATACTGTATATGTTTTGATAACTTCGTCAGCACTCCATAGATGCTTCTCAACCACCACTACAGAATCTTCCGTAGGTGCAGTTCAGAGGAGGAGGTTCCCTTAGCTCTGAACTCAGGTGACTTACATTTTGCTGTCAATTTTTCACTTTTGCTCTGCACAGCTATTAAAGCTCATTACACCATAGGACCCCCTCCTCCTCACTACAAAGCGTGGATATCTCTCTCTTGCTTTTGCCCCTCACAACATTCCCCAGGGATAGTGCCACCCTCTTCCACAGTGACAACGGGTTTCACTGCATAACTGAAGTTAAGGTGTTTTTACCAGCTATTCTCATTCCCACCCCCCCCACCCATCTCTCATCCTTTGATTACAGCTACATTCATTCCCCTTCCTCCCCACCTCCCTCACCTACTGACCACCTCCATTTACATTTTACTGGCTTTCTTGCATATGTACTGGCCTCTGGCTGCTTTACCACTCCATCCAAGAAGAGCACAGACCATCTGCAGACGCTCCCTCAGTAGGGTGTTTGTGCCCAAAAGCTTGCTAAAAATTTTTTTCCAACAATTTGAGTTGGTCTAATAAAAGCTATCGAATTTACCCAAAGAACCTTGTCTGCCGATGTCCTTAGAACAACATGGCTACAACCAACCCCCCTGTGAACAGAGTAAAGAATTCCCAGACAAAACTATGCTGTGAAGGGGAGAGCATTGTATTCAATGTACTCAAATATAGAACAGGTTCCAATGTAATTTTTATATAATGCTTTACCCCTTCCTCCACAACACTTTGATTTGCTCCAAAATACAAATTATAATCGGGTCTCCACTAGAAACTGGTATCTGAAGTGTGAAGGAGGGGCTGAGGTGGAGGTGTGGGGGGAGGCTCTGGCACTTTTATACTGGTAAAAAACCCTCATGTAGATGCAGTTATACTGGCAAAGAAATGCTGCTGTCATGATAGTTTATTTTGCTAGAGAAATTGTGTCCTTCATCAATGCTAGGAGGTTTTATGCTGTTTAAATTGTCAGCAAACCTTTTCTAGAATAGCCCCAGCTTAACGGTAAGTCTGAAAAATTTAACCAAAAAAATGAAACTTTCTGGAAGACAAGGTGATGAAGAATAGTAAATAATAGTGGAAATGCTTGGGCATGTATTTACATATAGCATTCTCTCCTTCCCTGCTATGATAACCTCTATATAGGAGATATTTTCAGCAAGAATTGTATTGACATTGATTGTAAACAAGTAATGGATTTTTAAAAGAAACAACTGAAAATCTGTGAGATCCTGTAAAATCAATCAGATACATCCATGAGAATGATTTTATAGAAATCTCTGTAAACTAGGATTTGTTTGAAAATAGAATATTAAAAATCCTTTTGGTTTAGTGTAAAGCTTTGCATTTTTATGGAAAATGCTTTAAAATGATTCTGAATTGGCTACTGATATCACTTTAAAGAAGTTTAAGTAAAGTATTTGGAGAGTTTGGATTCTGCACTTGTGAATTAGCCTCTAAGGAATATTAATCACTGTAATATATTTTAAATTGATTAAAATGTTATTTAAATAAAAGGTTATTCTGTTGTACATTTGATTACAGAAATGTCCAATTTAACTTGGTTTTAATTCTTTAGGAGTGCCTCTCTCAGTTAACATTTTTACAGTACTCCAGAAAAGTCTGAGTGCTGCGTGGTAACATTCAGCATTTGCAACTTACAGTACTGGTTTTGCAATACTTCATTGGGCCAGGGCCCTGTATTGTCTCTAGTGTTGCAGTCAGCAGTTGTCATATGACCCTGGAGATCTTCAAAAGGAGACTGGACGCACACCGTGTTGGAGTTATTTGACCCCAGCAGTCTTTCCTGCCCAGAGCAGGCGGGGCTGGACCCGATGATGTGAATCTGTGAGATTCTGATACTCTGTAAGCTAGAAAACATCTTAGCTTCATTTGCCTGTCATGTGTTAGCAGAATTCCTTCCATAGCCTTGGAAGGATTAGAGCTTCTCTGCATGTAAATAAGCTTGGTCGACTTCAAGGTAAGTACTACATGGCTGCATCCCAACAAGCACAGCCATGCGGTACGTGATGCCTCAGATCCCAGGGTCAAAAAACCCACCCACAAAAGCGGGGTGGCACATGCAGGGAGAGCACACACAGCCCAAAACCAGAGCCTGGCCAGCCAGAGCCACACCCCAGCTTCCAGTCAGCCTCCAAACAGCAGGATCGCCATTGCTGCAGCCCCAGGAGGCTCCCAGGACCCCAGGAAAGGCTGCTGGGGCCAGGCCAGTGCTAGCCCCAGCCTCCCCTACCCCACCCAAGGTAACCTGCCATGCTCCAGAGGGCGTGTGACACAGGTGTTCCACAGGGACGACTAGCAATGGAACAAGGTGTGCAGCTGCTGCTTGTCCCCAGGGAAACAAATGTCCACATTCGTTTGGACGTGGTCCATGTATCTAAAAATGTCCAGCGCCTTGACTTCTTCCTCTGTAACAAGGCTCAATTTTCCATTGAATCACATTTTCTACTCAGCATGCAGGATAGGGAAAATTATGATTATCTAATAAAATGCTAGCCCATTGCAGTCTACTGCTTCAAATTGTAGCACTGGCATAAGATCCTTGTGATATCTTTCACCAGCAGAGAATTCCTACCTCAGCTCATCAAACCAGTGTCTGAGCAGCAGAGTTAACATCTTATATCAGTTAAACTGAGCCACAACCTGGAATGCCACCCATCAACCCAATATGGTATGTATTGTATATATAGAATAATGTAGCCAATAATTTCAGTAATATTGTATAAAAAGGAAGGGAAAATTGTATGGGGTATAACAGAAATATAAAAAGCCTATGCACATGAAGGGAATTGTAGGCACATTGAGATTTCCATGCAAGGAGATATTTAAAACAATTATGAATGTATAGGTTAGGGAGGAGGTGAGCAAGAATGACCACTAGTTAAAAGATGCACAGAAGGTAAATGTGGAGGTTCCTATTTTAACTTTTTTCATTATAATAAGCAAGAAATGTAAAATGTAACAGCTTTAAAAGTGATAAAAGGCTCCTGTACATGGCTAGACTATGAAACTCAGTGCCACAGGATCTAGTTGACAATTAGTACGTGAATAATGGCCACAGTTTTAGTAGATAAGATAGATAATGCAACCATTACCTGACTTGAATTAAGAATAAATTTTCAGATGTGGAAGATTATTCTCCTTCCCTGGTGGGCAGATTATTCCATACTTGTCCACATTTACTTTTGAAACATTTGCTGTTGTCAGAGTTGGACACCAGTGATCTGATTCACTGTCAATTCCTAGGAGTATTGCTCTCTGTTTTAGTGAGCTGTGTTATTTCTCACTGTCTTTATCTCAAAACTGGTCTATATCATGGTTTCAACATATTATCATATAAAGTAGATACCATTTTCAGTGATGCAAGGATATTCTTTGAAGTAACAGGACTAACATTTTTCGGTTAAGCCTGGTGTATAAAGCACACCCTGGATTTAAATGTCTATGCCAGTGCTTCTGAGGATACCTTCTATGACCCTCAAGATTAGTTTATAACACATATCTGTTGAAGCTTGGATAACTTTGCATAGAACTGTGTATCAGGGTGCAATAATTTCTTGTGTCTACATTCAGAAATGGTGATTAGTAAAGGTGGAAAGAACATATCTCTATCATCTTTCAGAGATTCAAAAATTTAGGAAAAATATGCTAATTTCACAAGCACTGTCTTAATTACATTTCAGTATTTTAAAAACTCTCAAATATTCTGATGCATTAGAGCCTTCTGCCACTTCTGAAGTAAACATAATACTTTCCCAACATCTAATATTCTTTTAAGTGCCAAAGCCTTAGTACACACATGATTCTGGCTTTTCAGTTTCAGTCACTTTCTGCTAATAATACACATATCCTACAATACATGACGTGGAGCCATACATTGAAATACAGCTAACATTCCAATGAACTCTATGAGTACAGTTTTCTTGAACATGACATATGTTGTACTCAAGGTACTCAAACTGTTAAATTGGATTAAACTTGAGTAGTTCCATTATGTGAAAGATCACTTTTATAATCTGAAAGAGATTTTTTTTCCATTCAACCTTATTCCCTATTAGTCAGTGAAAGCAAAGCGACATAAGCAATTTTGAGACCTGATTTGGTTTTTAAGGATGTTTTTTATGCCAGGCCAACATGGTAACTAACATCAATGTTAATGCATTTTGGGAAATGACTTTACACTCACTGCAATATAGGGGTTACTGCAGATGTTTTCATTTGTCAGTGACCTTATGAGTAATGAATTGCAGTTGTGAAGCAATTTGTATGATAGCATAAATGAGGTCACCAAAAAAGCAATGGTGCCTGAGTCCACTTTGAGTTTTCCTCTCAAGTGATTGAAGGTTCCACTCAGGGAATGCATACATTTCCTACTTCTAAATGCTGGAACTATGGCGCTATCTATTTTTCTAATGGGGGTTTATATTTGATAATCTCTGTAAATGTAATAGCACTTTAATATTAACATTTTACAAGCTCTGGAAATGAAGTTTGACAGACATACTTGTTGAAGTAGGTCCCCCATAGCCAGGGGCCTCAGCTTCTGTTCCCTACTGTGAAGTTGTGACTTGAAAGCCCTCAGTGCTATACATCCAGCACAAAGGTTCACTACCTGGCACCATAGTCAGGTATCTAAAAGTGCTGCAATCCCTGCCTTGAGCAAGATGTCCCAAAGTTGCAGGGTACATTGGTGAGAGAAGGCCTACCCATGCAGATTGCCCCTGTTTAGGAATTCCTAGCCTTCCAGATCTACAGCTCTAGGGCAGCCCTACTATACTGCCAGAGTCTGAGGGAGCCCATGGTTTCTAAACGTCCAGTCATTGAAAAGGAAGCCTTCATCTGTAGGAGCCATGACAACAGCTAAGGGAAATCAGCAAGAATCATGCTGGTTTCATTTAGCAGTAGCTGGAGTCCTGGAGAACATAGTCATTGCAAAAATATACCGTGCTGGTGTTTCTGAAAAGAAATGTTTCAGAATTCGATTCTGAATGACATTTTAAAGAACTTTGTTCTACTCCAAAATCATGTTTTGAACTATTGAAATCTGCCATGAACTAGAGATTCCAAGATTCAGCCAGCTGACCAGCTGTTCCTGTGAAATTAAAGGAGAGTTTTGATTTCAATTACTTTGAACATAAAAGATTGCCATCCACCTTTAAGATCATTCAAGCATCTGTTTGTTGTGCTAGCCTCAGGACAATGAGCTGTTTGACCTGTCACAAATATTAAGTACTACAGGTCACATGCTACAACACCCTAAATTTAAAGCACAATGTCTTGGTGCTGTTGGGAGCATTTCACAGGCGTTTCAGAGGTGTTTTACTAATTAACTCCTTGCTAGTACAAATGCTTTACTTGTTTACACCTGAAAGGTTGAGGGATCATTTTCCCTACTTGATTTGGTAGCCAAGTGGCATCAAAGTATTAATTGGGCCCACTAGAACAGCATTTCTCAACCCATGGCATGCAACCGAAAACTAGGTTACAAGAATATATGAAAGGTCAATGAACAAACTTTAAAAATGGATCATATTTAAGAAACAGAAAAAGGAGGATCCAGGAACTACAGACCAGTCAGCCTCACCTCAGTCCCTGGAAAAAAACATGGAGCAGATCCTTAAGGGATCCATTTCTAAGCACTTGGAGGAGAAAAAGGTGATTAGGAACAGTTGGCATGGATTCACCAGGAGGAAGTCATGCCTGACCAACCTGGCCTCATCTCATCTCTATGATGAGGTAACTGGCTCTGTGGATGTGGGAAGCCTGGTGGATGTGGTGTACCTTGATTTTAGCAAGGCTTTTGATACCGTCTCTCAGACAAGCTAAGGAAGTATGGGCTGAATGAATAGACTGTAAGGTGGATAGGGAATTAGCTATCACATCAGGCTCAGACTAATAATCAATGGCTTGATATCTAATTGGCAGCCAGTACCAAGTGGAGTGCCCCAGGGTGGGGGGGCACGTTACTCAGGGAGGAGGTGGGGGGACACAGGATGCAGGCGCAGCAGCACTGGGAGCGGAGGCTATGCCTTGCTGCCGCTTGCCCCTTCCGCCCATGTCCCCTCCCCCCCACCACCCTGGCTGGGCAAGTGGCAACAGGGCAGAGCCCCCACTCCCAGTGCTGCTGCACCTGCATCCTACATCCCCCCGCCCTCTCCCCAAGAAACGCAG